GAATCTGTAAAGATTCTAGCCAAGAAAATTCTATCGAAAACTCTATCACATGGGGTTGCCATGAATCAGAATGACTCCCCTGTACCTAGTAGCAAGAACAAAACATGCAGTAATTTCAAATTGTGAAGACGGTCTTGGAAACAACTAAACTCTAAAGATGGGAGAATACCACGGGAGTGAGAAATTGCCATGGGCCCCGCCCAGATGACAGCTGATTGGTTGGAATGCAAACGCCCGACCAGCCTGGATCTGCAGGGAAGATTCTGTTGTGTCTTGAAGTCCTCCCACTAGGATAGTTATTTAAAAATAACGAGTATACTGAGACAATCTCTAAACCTTGGATCAAAAAACATTCCCTGAATTTTTCTTAAAACCAAACGGTAGTTTATTTGAGTTAGTAAACAACGTCTTCCTTGAACATCGTACTTGTGTAAGAATTCTCCATGCAGGATCAAATTGGCCACAGCAATTTGAGAGATTAGATAGGACACCTAAGGGGTTAGTGAGTTTATGCTAATGAGGGAGGAAAACTTTGAGAAGGTAATCAATGTTACTGAATTGTATACGTTGAAACTATTGAATTGGTGTATAGTTTCAACAATAACAGCAACAGAAATAAAATAGATTCTTTAAAAAAAACAAAAAGGAGTACAGGAATTTACAAAGCCCAGCAATATGTAAGTGAAGAGTAAAACCTGCAAAAGCTGGAATCGGTGTAAGGTGGAAACCCGTCAGGGACGGAACGCTAAAAATATTTTCTACTAACTGAGAGCGATAGAAAGGTAGTAAGATTGAGACCTGTCAAAGGCAGAAAGCTTGTGTTGTTGTTTGGTGCCATTGAGTTGGTTCCTACTCATAGCGATCCTATGCACAACAGACAAAACAAAACAAAAAACAAAACTGCGGATCCTACCCCATCCTCACAACTATTGTTATGCTTGCGCACATTGCTGTTGCCACTTGTGAGATTCGGGAAAACAAGGCAGTCCTGTTGAATTCTGGCTCTCACACGTTTCACCAGACAGTGTGCTGTGCTTAGGCTGATTCAATCGGAACTCTGGATGGACAGGACCAGAACGCTAATGGAGACTCAACGGCTATCTGGTCTCCCTCGCTATGGCCACAGGGAGAAGGTGCTGGGAGGTCCAAGAAAAATGTCCTATAAAAATTTTTTGCTAGGGACAGCTTAAATGCTTTTTTTAATGAATCCGTGTGATTGAATTCAGGATTTAATGCTTATTAAGTTTTATTCTCAGTAGCATTTAAGTTTCCAAATACTGGCTTTTGGGGTAGGGAGACACCACTAGGGTGTCCCAAGAGGAAGTTTTGCTAGACCTAGGAGCAACTCAGAGACCTGGGACACCCCAGGAATGTTATAGAAGCAGCACTGAATCCAGCTATGGAGGCAAATAAAGAGAACTGAGCATGTGTGGATGGAAGGAAGCAGGGGATTGCAGATGGCTTTGGAGGACTGGTGCCGAAGACCCAACCAGACCAGACCTCTACCACTTGCCTGTGACCCCAAACAACAGCAGCGTTTCTCATGTTGTGTTGTTTTTCTCTCACCTCTAATTTTTCTGGAAAAACACCCAAGCCCTTGGGGGTGATCACCCCAACCTTAACAGCACCTGCAGCCAGTGGGCCGGAAGTCAAGCTAGAATGGAGGAGGAACTAGCCTATGCTTAAACCACTGCCCCGGGGGACCTGACTGGATTCCCCCAGTGAGCAGTGGGGCATGTGCCCACCCAGGGGGCCTAGGACTGTGCTCTGGGAGAAGGGCCAGAGATAGACCCCAGGGCTGGGGAACTGGAAGGGTATCCAATGGCCGGACCTCTCAAGAGTGCATAGGGGCACCCATTCAGGCCCTATTAGAAGGGGGTTGGGTGCACCAAATGTTTCGAAACTTGTGAGCAATGGAAAAGCAACCCTCTTCACAACACAAAGCTCTGAAAGTGCCAAAGTTGACCCACAATTCCCTGCCTCTTTCTTCCTCCTCTAGCTCAAAATTTTATTGCTATGAAGCCCATTAAGGGAGGCAGCTGCAATGTGTGGGAAGAATGCTGACTTTGATGTCAGATTTCTGTGAGCTGTCATGGTGACTTCTGGGAGCCTCCATTTTCCTCATCTGTAAAGTGGAGAGTCCTGGTGTGGTGCCGTAGGATAAACACTGGACTGGTAACCAAAAGGTCAGTTGTTCAAACTCACCAGCTGCTCCCTGGAAACCCTATACAAGATTGCTATGAGTCAGAACTGACTGGGCAACACTTAACAACAATAAAGTGGCAATAGTGGGGCCCTCTCCAGGGTTTTGCTGAGGCTTAGTTATTTGAACTGCAAAGTTGGTGGTTCAAGCTCTCCAGCTTGTCCTTGGAAACCCTATATAGGGTGGCTATGGGTTGGAATCCACTCAACAGCACTTAACAACTACAGCAATGAGCAAGATAAGGAATCCTGGTGTGGCGCTGTAGGATCAGCACCGGACTGTGAACCATAAAGTTGGCTGTTCAAACCCAGCAGCAGCTCCTTAGAAACTCTATACAAGGTCACTATGAGTGGGAACCAACTGGACAGCACTTAACAATAAGGCAAGATAATATAAATGAATGTGGAAGTGCTCAATTCATTTTTGCTGTCATTTAAGAATTGCTCAAATAAGTGTTTGTTCAGCCTAATAAAAAGATTTGGTTTCTATTCTGCCTCCTGATTGTAATGGTGATTATATATGTACTAGAATTCATAGACCTTCATGACAAAAGAAAAAGACAATTTTATTGTCTGATCATTTCTGGAAAAAACATTCAGTTTGGCTCCCTACCCTCAGACAGGTTTTATGACTCCCATTTTACAGATATGGAGTTCTGGTGTGGTGCTGTAGGATAAGCACTGGATTGCAAGGTTGATTTGAGCTGTAAGGTTGGCGGTTCAAACTCGTCAGCTGCTCTTTGGAAGTCCTATACAGGGTCGCTATGAGCTGCAACTGTTACTGCAGCAACTTAACAACAGCAACAACAATTTTACAGGTAAGACATTCATCCTCCTCACCCAGCATAGGGATGTATGAGATGGCCATAAAGAACAGCTAAATGGACCGGGGGTGGGGGGTGGGGCAGGGCCAGAGGTGCCTTCTACACCATAAGCCCCTGGAAGCACATACCCTTTGGGGAAGATGACAGAGTTGTGGGGAAGGACCAGCAGATCAAATTTGTCAGTAAATCCTTGACAAATTATTTCATAGTTATTCAAAGATATTAATAAATGAGTCTTTTGGTAAAGCCAAGGCTTCCCCCACCCAAGGAAGCCCAAGTAGGGGGAGACCCTGCTGGGGGGGAGAAGTGAAGACTCCCCCCACCCACCCTGGCCCTGCGCCCAGGGTCCCTGGTGGAGGGAGGAGGACAGAATTAGCGCCATTATGCAAAACAGCAGGAAGGAAGGGCTCCAGCTCAGTGGAGGCAGATGCCCAAACAAGCCAGTTCCCTCTGGCAGCCCTGAGCCAAACCAGGGACACAGAGTGGGCACCCCTGAATGAGGGAAGGATTGCCCTGTACCCCACAGCTGGACTCAGTGTGAGTTCTGCCCAACATCCCCTGCTAGGCCAAGTCTGGTTAAAGGTGATTTAGGGAATGTGGCTACAGCAGTGGCCTCACACACGGCAATCATTGTGAGAATGGTGCAGGGTCGGGCAGTGTTTCCGCTGCACAGAGGGTTACTCTGAGTGGGAACCTAAATGACGGCCCACAATAACAAGGCGACCCAGAGTATGAGTGGCTGAGAGGCATCTTGGGGTCCCCCAAAAAGTCAGTGGGAAGGGATGGCAGCCGGTATTGCAAGCAGGCTTCACACACGGAAGCTAATTGCATTTATGTTCCCAGCTGTGAGTTGCTTTCAGCAGTTCCCCAGATTGGCAGCTTGGGGCCAAATTGGTAGGGCTCTGGGGACCACTTGTGAGGGCTCTGGGGCCCAGGGGGCCTCTGATATGATGCTGGGAAAGTCTGAAGGGGTCACCTGACTAAGGAGCCCCCAAACATCACCCCCATAAAGTCTCCCTCTTTTGGATGATCTCAATCTACTCTGCCAGCTTCTGGATCACACTTAAAAAAATAAAAAGTCCCTGGCTTGGTAGGGGGTGGGTGGGCTATGTAGAGGCAGGGACACCTTTCCCCTTAGGAGGTCTCCAGTTTAACTGGAGAACCAAGACCAGCAGGGGGGTAGCGGTGAGCAGCCAAGACAGGGACTGGTCTGAACTGGACTTGGGCACTTCAGGCAGGCTTCCTGTAAGTGGAGGGTCTTGAATGACAGCAGGGTTGGAACAGGCAAAAGGAAGGTGGGGAAGGGTAAGACCCTTCGGAGCTCTAGAGAACAGGACCCAAAGGATGCAGGCTGAGTGTGTTCCTGCTGAGGGGACGGTCCTCCAGGCCCAGTTAGGGGAAGATAGAGGGCCATGCGTCCTAGCTGTTGTCTCCTTATAGCCCCCTGCAGACTCCCCTCCACCTCATAGTCATAGATATCACAAGTCTGTGTGGGTTCTCAAGACACATCGTTTATTCCATGGGATAATGGGTTCCAAGCCTAGGAGCCCTGGTTGGGAGAGGATGGGAGACAACAGGGAGACAGCTTTCAGTGGTCATCAGGGGCCATGTCGAGGGTCATGGCCTTCCCAGGCTCCCCAGGGAGCTGGTCTATTTGAGTCCATTTGCAGGTTCCAGACAAGTCTCTGCCCGTCCCCCCATCCCAAATATGAGGGTGCAACCCACAAAGCACCTTCAGAAGTCTGGTTCAGTCTATCCCGAGAGTCTCTGCTCCAAATTACTGTCCTGTATCCCTTTCAGTTCAGTCCCTATGGGAATAGCTGGGGACCAGGGGCTAGACTGGGAGGCAGCTCTTCCATGCCAGCTTTGGAGGCGGATGGGGAATCCAGGGAAGAGGGAGCAGTCTAGGAGCCAGGCAGGCTCTGAGGGAGTCAATGGAGGGCTATGCCCAGAGGTGTGGGGAGGGCCAGCCCCTCACTCCTGGCCCGGGTGCTCACCCACTGACCACTTCACTTCTCCTGTCCGCAGAGTCACTATGTCCTCGTAGGTGGCTGTCTGGTCAATGTTCAGGCCCTGGAGACATGGAACGGAGTTCAGATGTTTGTCATGTGCCTGACCACATCAACAGAAGGTGACCGCTGACCATATGGGCCACACAGGGGCTGAGTCCATCCTGCTCCTTACCTCATAGGTGTGGTCTTCTTCCATCCCAATCTTGCTGTCATCCTGGTGGGGACAGAGTGGGGTGGAGGTCAGAGACTCAGCCTCCCCTAAGACCATCTGCTGCTGGGCTAGGTCCAGGGAGGGGTCATGGAAATGGGCTGGGGATGTGAGGGGTCAAAGGTCAGGTACACCCATGAGGCAAGAACAGAGACCATGTTGAATTACTCCTGCACACCCAGCTTGGCATGGCAGCCAAGCTGTACCTAGAGATAGCAGCAAACATTTACTGAGAGAATGGATGAGCCCAAGAGTGGTTGAATGAAAGAATGTGTGGTTGAGTAGGTTGGACTGGGCCAAGGGAAGGGGCAACGAGACCCTGCCCATGTCTGGCTGCCATGTGGTCACCTTGTCCAGCAGCAGGAAGATGGGCACGATGATGAAGAGGATGATAAGCAGAGTCTGGATCAGGATGATACCATCTTTGAGTGTGTTCCGCTGCTTCAGCTGGGCCAAGGAGCTGAAACCTGGGAAAGGGGTGGTCAGGGAAGGTGAGGCTAGAGTGGGAATTCTAGTGGGTCCCTGTCCTTCAGACCTGCAGTGGGGATGATCTGGTACACACCAGCATCTCTTCTGGGGGCTCTGAGGACCACCTCCACCTCTGCAGTGTAGCCCCTTCCCACTGTCATAACATGGACAGGTAGGGCAGGCCAGGCTGGGGTCTGGGAGGTGGACACTAGATGAACAACCCATGGTATCTCTGTTTCCCTTCCCTGATTGAAGTTGGGGGGCCCATGACCCACCCATGACCCGCAGCTCAGTGCCGCAGCCCCAGTGGATCGCCTGGGGCGACCCGAAACACGTCTGCTGGCAGAAGTAGATGCCATTGTCCTCATACTGGATGTCTCGGATGGTGAGGATGAAGATGGTGTTGTTCTGGGTCTGCAGGATGTGGCTGTGATCCTGGATCAATTCCTGGGGCTCCTGGTCCGTCGGTCGCTTCCGGAACCATTTCACAAGACCAGTGCCATTTGTGTGGCATTTCACCTCCAACGTGAAGCCCCGTTTCCGGGCTACAAAACGTGGGTTCTGCCAGATTTGGGAGCAAGGGCTACCTGTGGGCCCCAAAGCCAGGGTTAAAATCTAGCTCAAAGTCTTGTCTAGCCAGTCCTCAATCCCTCCTGGGTGCTGACTGAATCCCTTCTTCTGGCCTTCCTTTTCAGACATGGGGTGTGGGGACAGGCAGGAGATTAAGCATGTGGGAGTTGGGTCACCTGACAGGCCATAGGCCAACCCTTCCTGACTTCCCTCCACCCAGTTCTTTTTCCTTCACAAGATTCTTGAACCACCCCACTTTTTTCCATTCTCCTTGCCGAAGCTGACTCTAAACCTCACCTCCAGGACACGGGGCCTGGTGGCACCCAGAGGTTCCACAGCCCTCTGCCTCCTCTAGGTGCCCCCCTCCTGCCTCTACTGGATAAAGGGCACAACCTTCACCTGCCAAATGAGGTCTCCCCCAGCAGCCTAACCCTTCCCTGGCTTCTTGCCGAATTTCCCTCTCCTCTGTTGTACAGGCCTGTTCCACGGACCTTCTTTCTCTGCTTGGAAGAGCCTTTCCTAGAGCCTGTAACTTTTTCTAGGCTGCCCCTTCCCATCTCTTCCCCCTGAGCCTCTGAGCCCTTCACATGGCAAACTCCACTTCTAGGGGTTTGGTTCTGGCTGAGGCTGAACTCCCACACAAGACAGACCCAGGTCTGTCTCCCCACTCTGGGATCACCCCTCCATCCCTGGACCACAGTGCTTGTCTAAAGAGGGTGAGAGCTGACCAAAGCCAGGGTCAAGGGGGAGAGGAAGATACTAAGGAGGCTGAGGTTGGACATCCTGTGTGGGGAGACCCAGGTAAGGCCAGGACAACGGACAGTTATGAGACAGCGCATGGGACAGTAACCAACACTGGACACACACAAACCAGAAGGAGTGGGTGAGGGTGCCAACCTGAGGAATCCGGGTAGAGGCCCTCTGTTTTGGTTGCGGGCACCTTCTCACCTGCTGGGGAGGGAGGGAGGAAGTAGGCAGGGCCAGGTCAGACTTCCCTGTACACCCTCCATATTTTCAGAGCCACTTCCTCCTTCCAGGACTGCAGATTCCAGGACCCCTCAGCCCTCTCTGGACCCTGTATTGTGGGGGGCACCAGAAGATGTACCACCTGCTCCCTCTTTGTGTGACCAGCAGTATAGCCTTGAGCCAGCTGTGACAGAGAGGAGAGGAGTCACAGCTGGGCTTCGGGGTCTAGAGACCCTTTCTGGAACAATGTTCTCTCCTGCTTCCACAGTGCACTCCCTTAAGGGCCTCTCCCCAGATCTCCCCTCTTCTGTCAAGCAGCCACCCTGGGCCTAGCTCTTCCAGCCACCACCCCACCCTGGTGGTCCTCCAAGAGGAGTTGCAGGCCCTTCAGGCCCAGGGCAGTCAGACGGAAGGGAGAAGGAAAGTTGAGGCAGAAAGTGGAGAGAGGAGTGGGGAACAGAGCCAGCAGAGTCCGGGGTGGGGGTGGGGAGGGAAAGTAAAGACAGAAAGTGGAGAGAGGAGCTGAGGACCGGGTCAGCAGAGACTAGCAGGGCCTGGGGGTGTGGGAGGTGGGGGTAGGAGGAGTTCAGCTGGGAGAAGTACCTGATATCAGCAGCAGCACCACCACCAACCAGTTGCTGGGCGCAGGGGACAACGGCAGCCCAGCCATGGGCATTGCTCTGTTTGGACTTGGCCCTGTGAGCACGTCTGAGGTTCCTGGGGGGAAACGTGGAACTGCCCGGCTGCAGTCTGTATCCTCCCCGCCTCTCTCCACCAGGCCCCTTCCTGCCATGCAAATTGGGACCCAGGGGAGGCATCTGCTCTCAGGGGCTGTGGGGGGAGGCGGGTCTGTTGTCAGCTGGGCTGCCAAGGCTCAAGGTCACCTGGCTTGGGCACCATAACTGGAGTCTGAGGTGGGTGTCCCTGAGGAGGGGCCTCTGAGGGCAGCCTGTGCTCCCCTCCCCATACCTCACACCCTTCCTCAGAGCCATCCATCCCTACTGTCTGCAAGCTCCTGAGAACCCTTTGACGCCCTAGTTTATTCCTGTACTCTGCCCAGGGCCTGGTGCTCAGCTAAATGCACAGGGAGGTGCTTGGACAAGAGCAGGCCAAGTGTGGCAGTCACTTGTGAGAAGATTTGGTCCAGGCCGTGGAGAGAGCACCCACCCACCCACTTTCCATATGCTGGGGAGAGTTGATGGGTTTGCCAAGGGGGTGGGCCCAGATGGGATCTCCTTAGGAAAAAAACACTACTCCAGCCATCCAGAGATTTCACAGGAGTTCCTAACTGCCAGGCCCCAAGAGCCCTGAAGTGCCTTCACAGCTCCGGGAGGTCTTGGACAGGGGAGGGGAGGCGTGAGGTGGGGGTAAGCAGTTAGGTTCAGAAGTCAAGGGCTCATGGCTTTCTCCTGCCAGTCTGTGGGGAGGGAGAGTGAATGGGACAAGCTCCTGCCCCTGTCTGGACACAACCCTTGCTCCTTGGTAGACCTTAGTGTGGGGGTACAGCACCACCTGACACAGCCAAGTCCACAGCTGAGTCTTCTGTCTTCTTGCAGTCTCTTCTCTCCCTTGTCCTCTCTCTCTCTCTCTCTTCTTCTGAATCACCCCTCCCTCCACCCCTTTTGATTTGGGAGAGATGTTAACCCTTATTTGCAGATGGTGAGGATGATGAGGGTCCCGGCTGCTGGAAGCATCCTTGCTCTCCCCTTTGAGTCTGGGCCTGGGCCTCATTTGGCAGGGTAGGGTGGGCAAAGACCAGGGCCTGAACTCTTGAGTGGGGGGATGTGAGAGTTAAGGTTTCATCCAAGGAACAGCCCGTTCCAGGCACACAGTCCCAGCTGTTCTTGCTTGTTTCCAGATGTTCCAGATGAAAAAAACATTTCTCTGAAAATGTGTCAGCTGTTCAGTTCACAGAACAAACAATCCAGGAATATAAACATCACCTGAGGTCAGTTCGGGGACCAGCAGGCCCCTCGTGTTGGAGGGGGTGAGAGAGCCAGGCAGAGAGAGGGGAGGTCCTAAGGTGGTGGGCAAAATCCACAGATCTCTTCCTTTAACAAACTCTACTCCTCCCAACGAGCCCTAATCTGGCACTATAGAATAAGCACTGGACTGCTAACCACAAGGTCACGGTTCAAACACACCAGCTGTTCCTTGGAAACCCTATACAGGGTTGTTATGAGTCTGAACCAACTCAATGGTACTTGAAAACAATATCAACAACCCCTCCCAAGTTCCTATGATTAGAGATCTCGGTTTGATTTGGACCCAGAGTCTTCCCAAGTTGAGATAGTGGTTGGGATGGTGTGGGCATGTGTGTTTCCTAACTGTGTGGTTCAGGGCCCACTCAGGGTCCAATCTGGAGGTACTCCTGGGGAGCAGGGTGACAGAAAGGGCACAGAGGCGAGGTGGTGGGCATCCTCCAAACACACACATCAGCATCCTGTGGGCAGGGATGCAGACGTGTCCTTTGGATCTCATCCCCATTCATGCAGGTAGGGACTGATTTTCAGGAGGGGTTGGGGGTAGTGGGGCCGCCACCTGCAGGGTTATTTATCAGAGCTGGGCCACACTGTTCCCTCCCTGGTGACAGCAGCACTGAGCCAGACCGACCGTGAGCTCTGACGCCCATCCCTCCCCCTGAACAGGACGCATTGTAAGCCCACCCCCGTCTCTGCCCTGGGCTGCTCTGAACTACACACCCTGACATCTGGCAGCACCAGGTCTTTCCGGGAAGGTAGCATCAAAACAAGAGATGGGGTTCAAGGTGCAACTAAAAGGGAGAATAGTTAATCTGTCGTTTCAAGAACAGGGGATCCTGGGATCATGAAGAGGGAAGAACGTAAGAGGAGTGAAAAGTGAGGACAACAGAAATGGCGGCAGAGACAATGGCGCAGAGAGTCAGACCAGCAGTGGACTGAGAAAGGCAGTGTGTCTGCCCACAGGAGGCTGGCTTGCAAAATGTGCCCTTTGGACATTGAAACAAATATATGTTTACAATGTGGTATGTGTACATCAAAAAAAAAAAAAAAAAGGAAAGGTGATACTGTTGGCTAAGGTAAATACTGTTGGTTAAGGGTACACGGAGGGGATTGTAATCATTACAATGATTTGCTGAATGTAAAAATGATGATCTGCCCTATAAGCCTTCACTCACTCAATACACAATAAAAGCTTTTTAAAATAAATAAAGATTAAAAAAGTGATGGGACTTTAGATCCAGAGAGGGAGAGCGACTGTGTGCTGAAGACTGGGGGTGAGGGGTAGTGTAGGGGGGCAGGCTTACAGGGTATACCCTTTGGTTGGTTGATGATGCATGGAGGGGATTGGAACCATAGCAATGAAATGATATACGATATCACTTGAATGTAAAACTAATATTTTCCCTTGTAAACTATCATATAACTCACAATAAAACATTTAAAAAAAAAAAAAAGCAATGGGTACAGAGGAAGGGGCAAAAAGCCTAGGGGTCTCTGGGGAGAAAGAAGGCAGGGATCCCCAGGAGCTTTGGGAAGGGTGGAGGGTGATGAAGCCCGGGGGACAAAGAGCTTGGATCTCTGCCTTCTCCTCAGTGTAATCCTACTGGGTCTGCCTGGGCTTCCTGTTAGGCTAGCTGGCTAAGAAGGGTGCAGGTTTGAGTCCTGATGCCATGGGGTACCTCTGGTTACCTGGTAGTTCTCACCCGAGAAGCTTTTGGAAATTGTTGAGAGCAATTGTGATGGTTGTGACAAACAACATTTGTGGGCCTGGAATGGTAAAGGTGGCAAATGGGAGAGACGTGACCCAAGCAAGACAAAGCCCTACAGTGCCTAGTTAGGCAACACCCACCCCAGCTTCCTCATGTGTGTGAAATAGCAATTATCCTGGTCATACATCCCACTAGGGCGTTGTGAGCGGCAGTTGAAAGCCTGCAGACAAAGCACTTGGAGAAGCGTCTGGAAGCACAGGCCCATCTCAGTAAAGCAGCAAGCTGCATTGTGAACTATGGGGATGGCAGTGAGGACGAGGTAGGATATAGCTTTTTGCCCAGTATTTTGCCTCTTGGAATTCTGGTGGAGCTGTAGGATAAGCACTGGACTGCTAACTGCAAGATGAGTGGTTCAAGCCCACTGGTGCCGCCCGTAAAGATCTATAGCCTCGGAAACTATAAACTTCGACTCAAGTCGCCATGAGTCAGGACTGACTTAATAGTGAGTTGGATTTTTTTTTGCCTTTTAGTCTTCCATCATTCAAGGACCAGGAGAAGGATGCACCAAGGGAGGCACTCTGGAAATCCCCCTGCCCACAGGACCAGAGAAAGCGCTGGTGCGGTTTGGTGAAGGCGTGTTCTGCCCAGGGAGAGAGATTGGCACCCCGAGTAGAGAAAATTGTCCATGGAAGGGGTTGTGAAAGCTTAGCAGGGCTCCTGAGCACCCCAACTCAACATGCAAAGTAAACCACAAGGTGGGAAGGGGCATGGGGACAAGGCTGAGGGGCCCCCTCAGGACGGCCTATGGACCAAGGCTCTGTGAATGCCTCTCTCCATGCCCCACCTCAGGTGCCTGGAGAGGAAGTGCAGGAATCCTGAAACAGGCTTTACTCATTTGGAGAAACACAGCCTCGGAAGTCAGAAATCAAGCGATAGAAAATACAATGATGTATGACATTTGATTTCACCCATACTAGTCTTGCTAACTGAGTGCTTTGGAGAATAATACTCTTTAATAATCAATGTCAAAGGTACTTGTTAAATGTTACATAGGGTTTCCAAGGAGCAGCTGGTGGATTTGAACCATCAACCTTATGGTTCAGTGTTTATCCTACAGTGCCACACCACGACTCCTCACAAACACGAGTATTATAAATATAATATTCTATAATACTCTTTGTCACAGGTTTACATGGCTCTGAGCCCTCAGGGGTCAGGGCTCAGAGGCAACGTTGAGGGAGATGGAACTTCTGAGAGGAAGGAGGGGCTATACTGTGTACCCTACAGGCACCTCAAGGTCTCCAAGGGGGAAGGGGAGGGCTCCCAGAAAGGAGGGACTGGGGCAAGTGTCCCAACAACACATTTCCTGGGTGGGAAGGAGAATGTGATACTTCCAGTTGGGGAAGGAGGAGCATGGCCCCTGACTCCATCTGGCCTCTTAGAGTCCAGCTAATAGACTTCTGGAGTGAGGCAGGAGAAAGCCATACTGTGCTACAAGGGATTGTTGGGGTCCTCCTTATCCAGTGTTCCCCAACCCCTTAGGAGTGCCCCCCATGTCTTCCCCACTTGGATCCAATCCCTAGCAACCTTTCTTTCTTATTGCCCTCAGCACCCCTCAAAGTCCATGCGCAGAAGGGAGAAACCCACACAAGAGAGGCACCAGGGGAGGGTTTATTGTAAGAACTGTACAAAGGTTCCCATCTGCCAACCTGGCAGGAATGGGTGTGGAACTGTGGGGTGGGGGGCAGGCAGGGGAAGGTCTGGACCCTTCCTCTGTAGTCTGGACAGTCTGGTGGAGAAGGTCCAGTTCAAGAGATTCCAGAGGCCCTTGGGGCCATGCCAGTTCAGGGCCTGGGAATAAAAGACAGTAGGGCAGGGGTCTGGGCAGGGAGGAGGCTGACCCTGATTGGAGGAACCTTCTGAAGGAAGAGACAGAATCACTGTAGGAAGAGATGAAAGGAGTTGAGGCCTCTTTTCAC